GATTGGTAGATTGCATCTGGACTGGCACAACTATAAATACCGGATGGGGGAGTATAGCTCTGGGCTTCGGAATGTGAAGCCTCTTCCACTGGCCCCTATGAGAGGTCCCTGGAAGCTACACCTGTGGGGTCGTTACAAGAAATACTGGCTCCTGAGGGGTGTGCGACTTCTAAGTCAGGACAGCTGGCCACATGGGTCTGATGTGAGTCTTCTTTCCTTGCATCTGAGCTGTTACTTGGCTCCAGGGGGTTTGGGAGGAGCACCTGTGTGGATTGCTGCACAGATTATCGCGAGGACTCCTGGGGAGGTAGAATGCCTAATTCTGCTCTGCTCCAAGCGCTGTTCCTGATCTATATCCTTCCAAGAAAATCTGATGTCAAATGTGGCCCCCGTAGTCTTAATGAGTCTCAGTGTTTAGTTGTATCTAAGAATACCCCTCGAGGATGTTGCACATGAGAATACAGATAGCTTATACCTGAGCTATGTAGAACAGGACCGACGGAATAGAATCGGATTCCGTGATCAGTTTGATCATGGTTATCTGCACCTGTTTCTATCATGAGGTCATAACATATGTTTCTCTGTGTCCCCTTATGGTAGCTGATGCAGACTGCAGGTATGGGGACAGACAGGTATGTAATACCTCTGTGCCACCAGCCTAGGAAAACAGAATCTATAATGTGATATCAAACATTTCAGAAGAAGAGCCGATCTAAGTCTTCATCTCACGTGTTTCAAGCAGGTGGCGAGAGCCCGCCTAAATTTTAGGGGTGGAAGTCTACCTTGGCCTTAGAGATACCTTTGTATCTGCTGAGCCTGATCTTCAGTGAATCTCCATTTCCCCTTTTACAGGCAGATCCGAGTAGGACAACCAAACATAGTTTCAATTGTCCTTGGAGGTTTAGTGTTTAGTCCCTTGATCTAGACATAACTATAACATACCTAGACTTGATCTAGATGGGAGACATCTTTAAAGTTGGAGAGAACAGGGGCGCCTGGGTGGCTCAGTCGGTTGAGCGTCTGACTTCGGCTCAGGTCATGATCTCACGGTCCGTGAGTTCGAGCCCCGCGTCGGGCTCTGTGCTGACAGCTCAGAGCCTGGAGCCTGCTTCAGATTCTGTGTCTCCCTCTCTCTCTCTGACCCTTCCCCGTTCATGCTCTGTCTCTCTGTCTCAAAAATAAACATTAAAAAAATTTAAAATAAAATAAAGTTGGAGAGAACATTTGTCTGGGTCAAAACTGACCAGAGAGATGGGGAGTCAGAACCTCCTCTTTTGATCTCTTATGTAACAAGAATGCAGCCCCTCCCCACTTCACATTGTGAAACAAAACAACGTTTTTCTCACTGAAGAAGCTACCTATTTCAAATGCACTTGCACCTTCAAAAAGCCTAAGGAAGACTGAGCATTCTTCATGACCACGTCCATACCTCATAACAGTATTCGGACCCTATTAAGGATGAGCAGAGAACCAGGATTTGACTTTTTCTGATGACATTTCAGTAAGAAAAGAAAAAAAA